ATTATGGTTTTGGATTTTAATTGTTGAAATATTATACACTATTCTACAATTATCTAGATTATGGTTTCGAATTTTAATTGCTGAAATACTATACACTATTCTGCAATTACTTGGATTATGGTTTTGAACTGGATTAGAGTTTTGAACTTTAATTGCTGAACTATTATTTAGGTTCTGTAATTTACATGGATGTGGTGGATCGTATGCACCGGTATGGGACGGTGGCATACTAGGGATGGTTTAGCTCAAGACGCTAAGACCTACCCTATGAGAATAAGGGAATGGATTGTAAACATTGAATCCTACTTATATTTAGGTCAGATCAACTGAGTAAGTTGAATGACTACATGGATTAACTGTTGTTTGTAGTTAAGTCATATCAACTGAATAAGTTGAGTGACTAACTGGATTATAAATCGTATAACAAATCAATATATAATTGAATGACATACTCTGGTTGTGCACGGATTTAGATATATGGTTATGGTACCACGAGATGGGCTTGAGTCTCAGGCTCGTTGGTTAGGGTGCGTATATGCAGTGGATGCGTAGCTGGCTATGATAGGTTGAGGTGTACCCTATTAGGTCTAGGTATTCATGCCCTCCTTTGGGTGCATTTTTGCATGTTGCCTTCTATTCAGATCGAGGCCCCCTTTATAGACCAGTGAATGTCCCTTAGTGTGGATATGTATATATATATTTATGGACTAAATAGATATTGCGACATATTTAGGATGTATCTGCGTATCGAGTCACTGTATGGATTGCATTTAGATTAGAACTTGTTCGTGGGCCTGACCCACTCTTATATTTTTTCAGGTATCAGACGGTTCCAGTCTTAGGGCTTGTTCGGGCTGAGCAGAGACGGTCATTCACTCTACCGACAACGTAGGATTTCATTCCATATTTTAGATTTGGTTTCATTTCCAGTTATTTTATGTTCAGTTGGGATTTTATTAAGGGGTCCACTAAATAGATTCTCGAGTTGTACCCTTGGAGGTTTTTGAGAGTTGGATTTAATTAATCTTTAACTTTGGAGGATTTTATATTTAATAATTTTTTCAACTTTATTATGTAATTCTTAAATCTTTTTATATTCTGTGTTTGGTAATATATTAATTGTTTGATATTTCCTCGGGTTTGGGCTTGGGCCTGATCAACCCATGTCTCGGATTCGAGGGGTATCACACTTACAGATTTGACATCACCAGGTAAAGTAATGAAAGATTCTAGGTAGACTTGGTCAGCTGGAGGACTAGAGATAACTTTGACTCCTTGATGGCCATGGGTTGTTGGAAGATCAAAAGGTAGAGGTAGCTGCTTGATGGCCATGGGTTGTTGGAAGATCAGAAAGTAGAGGTAAATCAGCAGAAGATTTTCCTTTGGTTGCCATTTAAGAGATTGAAGGGAAAGCTTTAACAGAAAAGGAAGAGTTTGATAAGGAAGGAAGGATAAGCTTTGTTTTGAATGAGGAAGATGGCATAATAAAAGGAAGGTTTTAGAACTTAAAAGGAATCAAGGAAGATAGGCATTTAATGGTGGTAGTTGGAAAAGTTGTGGCCATTAAGTAAGAAGAGATGGTTGTCAAGTCGAAAATAATAATCGACAGAAAAGAAATCTTTATTGGATGATTGGATAAGGCCTATGCAGATTTCTAAAAAAATTTAAATTTTAAAAATTTTGTAGACCTGATCTTGGAAGATAGAAAGCCTTCAAAATTTAGGAGGCATAATGTTGGCACATAAAAATGGTTGTACAATGGGCAGCCACTTTAATGATGATATGGTGCAATGAAACAAAGATAAGTGGACTAAATCATGGTCCAATGCTAAATTAACACTTGTCAACATTAGAAGGAAAAGGAATTCCAGCATACATGAAACATCTAGCAGAATAGGAAAGGTAAATATGGCAGGACGATGACAGCTGGCAATAAATCGTGGGATAAGCTGCTTCCTAAAATTAAGGAGGACATTGGCTAAATAAGTTGGACATGTATGAAACATCTATAAACTACCAACTCAGTTTAGAATTCCTTATATTCAAGGAGTTCAAAATTAAGGAGCTGCTAAGGAGGTTGGTTCTTAAAAAATAGGGATAAAAAGATCATGGTTTATTACAATAGACAAAATCTATTTCAGAAAAAGAAAGAAGCGGTGGCAATTGAAGTACGTGGCATATATATAGATATACATATATATATATATATATATATATATATAATTTAGATGAGTAGTTTAAAAAATGTGGGACACATTGCAGCAGTGGAAGAAATTCATAGATTGTGGGTTTGGAAGTTGGAATTCAGCAGCTGAACATGAGACAAGTATCTTGTAAGAAAGAAATAGGCAATTTTTTAAAAGGACATGGGTCCTTCTTGTAAAGCTTGTAAGGTGTATAAATAGTTTACTTAGGTCTATATTGGAAACTCTCTCAACGACATCAATCAATATTCAATCCTTGTCATTTCAATTCAAGCAATTTTAATACAAGTTATCTCAATTCATTTACATTCATGCACTTACATTCAATATTGCATTTTAATTCATTAGATGGCATTGTAATCTTAACTAAAAGTCCTTTCATCAAAGGTAAATCTGAAACTCCACAATCGCCTGATCGTTCCAAAAGGATCTTCCTTTCTGTGCGACCTCTCTGAATCTTCCGAGATTCAGGCATGCTTACGCATTCCAAGTGTCCTAATTTTGTTCGAACAATTGGGTTACATGATTTAATGATTTTGCTTGTCTTTGAATTCATTTTCAAGCACACACATACAAATAAAGATATTTTGAGAGTACAGCATTCCTTTGTAATTGGATTATTCAGTAAGCAGTTGTTTCATAAACATAAATTAATTGTGAGGTTGAGAAGGGGACGATTGTGCATTAATTAAAATAGAATATTAATTTTTTCGTTTTACAAAACTATTGCTTATAGTAATTTCACAAATAATATTAGTTAAAAGAAAGATAATTTCTTAAAATAACTCTCTTAAATTAGCCATGGATTATATCTCAAGACTATAATTAAAAGTGACATATTACTCCTTGCTCACCAGGAATAATTGAACACTACTATATATATATATATATATATATATATATATATATGAAATAGCCTAATTAATTAGCCAAATAACATGCCGTAGGTACACGGACCAGGATCACCTCCAGTCCCACAGTGCCCCATTTCGTCCATTTTGGGTCAATGAACAGTGTTAACCATGTTTGGGTAAAAAATATATTTTTGGAATACAGAATTTTGGTGTGTATATATATATACTGTTGCAGAATACCCATTTTGTGTTCCCTCCCCCATTTCTTCTTCCTCTTCCCTCCCTCATTTTAGGCAACATTTGAAATAGAAATAAAATCCAGCCCTAGCCTTCGTCTCTCCCAAAATATGAATGAAGCCATTTTAGAAATTTATTTCTTTCCAAATAGAATCCAGAAGCAGCAATTGTTGTGTGAATCAACCCAAAATTTGGATGCTACAAATTGTTTCCAAATAGAAGCAGCATTCTGTCAGTCGTAATGAAATTACAAATTCTGATTTCCTTCCAAAATGAAGCACCGGTGTATTTCCAAAGCTAAGCGGGAGTGAATTTCCAAATTGAAGCAGGAAATCGCCTTATTTCCAACCCTAATCAGGTACGATTCATAATTTTGAGATTTGATTTTTTAGGAAATCATCTTATTTCCATAGGAACTGAATGGCAGAAACAAATATATATAGACACAATTTTGGTAAGAAACTCAAAAATAGAAAATTATTGGTGAATTTAATTGATCGTTATTTTATTGTTCAATTATTAGGGGTTTTAATGTTTTTTTGTGAGGATAAAAAATGAGAGGATTTGTAGGGTTCATTACTGGCCAGAAAAGAGTGTTCCAGAGTGTGAGTGTTACAATGTTAAGAAAATGTTTGGTCGTTGGGGTTGCATCGCAACAATTTCCTAAGTTGTATCCCAACTTTCTCCTTATAAGCATCCCAAACTCTTTCTTATTTACATTCCAATATTTTTGTAAAGTGAGTCACAACATTTTCCTAGCGTACATCCCAAAACCCAGAAATAGAAAATTATTGGTGAATTTGAATTGATTGCTATTTTATTGTGCAATTATGAGGGGTTTGAATGTTTATTTGTGATGATAAAAAATGAAAGGATTTTTAGGGTACATAACTGGCTAGAAAAGAGTGTTTCAGAGTGTGAATGTTACAATGTTAAGAAAATGTTTGGTCGTTGGGCTTGCATCACAACATTTTCCTAAGTTACATCCCAAATTTCTCCTAAAAGGCATCCCAAATTCTTCCTTATCTACATTCCAATATTTTTGTAAAGTGAGTCACAACATTTTCCTAACTTACACCCCAAAATTTTTGTAGCATAAATCCCAAAGTATTTGAGCAGTATATCCCAAAATTTTCCTAATGTGAATCCCAAAGGTTTCGTAAATCACATCCCAACTTCTTGAAAGGTACATTCCAAACTTTTCCTAAGGTGAGTCCCAACTATTTCATAAGGCGAATCCCAACTGTTTGGTAACGCAAATCCCAAATTTTGTGTAATATTAATCCTAACATTTTCAGAAAGTGTATGTGAAATTAGCATCAGTTGTTTGGACATATATGTTCTGTTGTAGCAACGAGGATTTTTATCGTCATTTGTCTGGGATATACTTGATTGATATATGTAAAGAAATGAAATGAATGAGATATATGTCAAATTTAATTTCTCATACATATGAAAGGTTTTTTATTTGATTGGTCCTACATGTGAAAATGTTTTGTATTTGAGCCATTGAGATGGAACATACTTGGGATGTAGAAGTAAAATTATTTTTTGTTAATTCAATATTTTGTGCATATGTGAGAAAAGGTTTTATATTTGAGGCGTTCAGATGCAAGGTGAAGTAAATAATATTCAAGACACAACAAATGGACGAAACGTTGTTATTGTAGAACCAGAAGTGATGAAATGGAAACCAAGGTATAAAATGGAGTTTGATAGTGAGGAAGGGGCATATGATTTTTCCAATGCATGTGGTGGTCGAATTGGTTTTAGCATCCGGAAGGAGTATGGCAATAAAGTTAATGGAAGAATTACATCGAGGGTGTTTGTTTGTAGCAAGGAAGGTGTGAAGGGGATTGACAAACGGGATGTATTTAGAAAGACTCCCCAGGCTGAAACACGAACCAAATGTGGTGCACGAATGGTTATTGTAATGACCCGGATTTTCAAGGATATTTTTTTTTCCATTGTCTTTTCTTTCTGAGTTCAGTTCCTCTTCGCTTAGTGTCATCTCGAGTGCTCTGGAGTTATTTCTGAGACTCTTTTCTGTGGATTGACAACTTCCTTTGAGGACCGAGTCATTTCCACATTTTTCGTTTTTCGACACTATTCACTTTTCGTCCTTTTCCCTATTTTGTCTTTAACCCGTTTGACACTTTGTTGGCATAACCACACTTCTTGTGTTTGAAGTTGGTTTTTGACTTCATGTATCTCCATCTTGAGTGGTTTCCACGAAATACGTATCTTTACTTTTGCAAGAAAGTACTCTGGTTGCTCCCGGTGTCCATAGGGTCATGGATGCAAAGTTCTTTAAAATTATTTTCTTTTCTTGGGGTGTTTTTCGTAAATATCTTTTGAAGATATTTTATTTCAGGGGTTTTTAAGAAAATATTTTTGGTAGCAAACTTGATTTTAAGGGGGTTTCTTCTTTGAGTTTTTCCAAAAAAGTCCGTTTAGATGCCCCTTTTTACTCTTAGTTGCAACAGTGGTGGGTTGTCCTCGTCTGGCCGCCACGACATCATTTTTGTTTTTGACCTTTCTCCCCCGTCCGGACTCCAAATTGAGTAAAAAAAAAATTGAACTTGACTAATTTGTCATTGTCTTTCCAGCGGTGTGCTCGATAGCACCTGAATCCACTTTTTACAAAATGACCATTTTGCCCCTAGGTTCTTTTTGTCCGTTTGTGAAACGACACTTCTGCATTTGTTTCCTTTGGGTTCCGTGACCTCATTGAGGGTCACATTGGTGTCTTAGAGACGCATTGTATCTCTAGAGACCGTTGTTTCATCTCTCGCTTCCGCATTTTGGATCCATTATTGGGTCATCTTTTGGTCATCACTGACGCACCGGGTTTACAAAACTTGGGCCGTCACAAGTGGTATCAGAGCTCCTAGGTTTGAAAACCTTAGGACGATGGGTTTTGGGTGCATATCATGCTTTTGTTGCCATGCTCTATGTGTTTATATGCTTTATGATAACATGTTTTGGTTGATAACATGCTTATGTGCTTATGTGCTACATGTTGTATGACGTTCATTTAGCATTGTTTTATTCTAATATAAAGAGCATGACATGTGACGTATGCTAGATTAGAATTGTATATGAATACTTATGTTGCATATTTGGCATGACGCGGGATTGGTCATTGAGGCATGAGTTGAGGTTAATGGTGATTGTAGTCACAGTTTCGTGGTAGTATAAGTTGTTGTCGACCTAATATTGGTTTTAAGGTAGGTGGATGGTCACCTTTTGTTTAGGCTCTCGTGAGATGAGTTGTTTGGCGTTACCATAGTGCTGGATTTGTTGGTTTGGGGCCATTATGAGGTTATGGACCTCTTACGATCCTTGATTGTTCAGGATAATTCCTCTGGAACTTGTGTTTTTTGTGGGTGGGTACGTTGTGGGCAGGTGAATGGCACTGTCATGCTACCGTACTGGCATGCTACATATGCAGTTCGGATGGAATCAGTGTCGATTTTGTTTTGATAGGTGTTGTCCTTTTGATCGATGATGATGGTGTTTGTTTTGGGGATCAGTCGTGGTGATTGATTTGGTTGTTGTTGGCATGGCTATAGTTGCCATTTTCTTTGGAGTTCTCCTTGAGTGATAACACTTTTGGGATTAAGTCAATTGATTGATGCTTCGGGTAGAAAGAGCATTGCATTGTTAGCGTCACTTGTAGTGTCACCTCTAGATTTGGAGTTAGATTGTTAGAGTCTTACCATTGTGGTAAGGGCTCACATTTGTTTTGAGACAGGTTGATGTCGTATTGGTTTTTGGAGACAGTTTATGGCTAGGACTGGTCTTTCCTTTTGCTTAGACACTCTAGGACACGATGTCCATAGGGTTCATTGTTACATCATTTTATCTTTTGCAGTTTCATTTACTACCATGTTAGTAGAATGAATTATGATGTTGTGATGCATGAGTAGATGGAGATGTATCCACATTTGCCTTCTTGTTGTGTGGCATTAGCATGCCTTCCATATATGCTTAGAGATGTCATACTGTTATTACGCTTTAATGACATGTTTTTGTGCTTACGTGGAGACGTATTGCATGTACCTTTGATTTTTATCTATGTGAGTAGATTTCTTTTTGGTAGTTGCATTCCTTGTCACATGCATGACTTCCAGGTTTGGGTTCCCTTTTGTTTCTCCTCAGTCGCACGTAGTGTGTATGTGGGTTTCCATAAGAGTTTCGTTGTGAGATTCCTTATAGAGGAGTTATCACATTTGTTCCATCTTGAGCTGTCCACTTCCCTAAGGTAGGAAGGATGCTCCATTTTCGTGTTTATCATATCGACACTTGTAGGAGGATAGGGTTTCTTCTCTTTTCTTGGTTCGTGTTAAGGACCTTACAAGGAGTGAGTCTCTTCTTTTCGTTGCGTTGTGCGCAGTTCTTGGTTGGTTGGCCCGTGAGGATCACCATTGTTGTTTTGAGTCCTTGGTGAGGATTTGATGGATTTTGGTCGACTTACTTCCATGTAGGGGGTGAAGTCTTTGACCTTGTTGTCTTTTATTTCAGAGATGGGGTTGTGGTGTTGTCCTTTTTAGGACTGGTGATTCCCTTTCTTTCGTGTCTTCCTTGGGGAGTTTTTGCTTTGGTTGTTGATGGAATTGTGGTGCTCGGAGTGAGTTGATTGGTGTGAGATCATTTTATGGGGACTTGTGTCCATATCATTGAGGATTTGTTTGATTGTGAGGTGAGCTCGATGCTCTTTTGAGAATGTCTTTTAGAGACTTGTTTCCGTTTTGGGGGTCTGGATGTGGTTAACTTTTAGGAGGAGTTTTGGAGGATCGCTGTTGGATATGGCTTGTTGTGGAGTTTCCCATCCTAGTTATAACTAGGCATGGCTTTGAGGAATCATAGTTCCAGTGGTTGTTTATAGATCGATAGAAATTGAGAAATTTTGATTTAGCTTGGTGTTGCCAAGCATAGTTTTGAGAGATTCATCTTGTGACCTTAGTTGTTGGCATTTTGATATGTGTGCCACTTGGTGGATTTGTATTTTGAGGATTTAGTTATCCGTGATAGGGATATGGATCTGATGTTTGATTACGGTGTAGTCTTGTAGTTGATCTGTTTCAGGAAGATGTGAAGGACTTTCGATGAAATGTCTTATTGTGAGGTTCGTTTTGATTTCTGTAGGCGTTGATTTGCTTGTCAGGTTTTGGATTCCTGATTAATGTTGTTAATAGGGGTATTTTGAGATATTGGAGATGTTGGTTTTGTTGTATTGAGGATTTAAGGCCTTAAGCATAGCGATACCTATGGCATTGTTGTCAGAGTTTTGGGATTAGCTAGGATGGTCTAGCCAAACATCTTTGGACCATATTTCAACTCTCACAAAATATTAGTCTCCGTAGTGCTTTTGGCAATGATCATTTTTGACATTGATGTCATTTGTATCGAGAGGTTCCTTGGGTAGACCTAGTGGGGGGCAGGTTATGAATTAGTGCCTTATACTGCCATGCTACCGTACAAAGTTGTGTGTTGTGGGCGAGTACTAGTTATCGTCGATGCTACCTTACTGACAAGTAAGTGTGGGCGGGCACTAGGCACTGTCATTGCTACCATACATTTGAGTACGTCGTGGGCGGGTTCTGGTCGCTATTCGTACTGCCGCATCGTCTTGTTCGGTACCCTGATATGATACGTGGTTCTCTTGGAGATCTTTTGGTGGTCGTTGTTGGATCGGTATGATGGTTCATCTAGAAGGATGTTTACGGTTATTGTCTTCCGTTCCTTTGTCTCACCTTGGGTTCTATGTGTGAGTTCCGACTTGTTGGGTGGCCATTTAGTCACTTTCCTTTTGAGAGGTTGTCCTGTCATTAGCACGTGGGTGCGAATGACATTGGTTTATGCGTTGTCTTTCAGCTTTGGGATTGCTTTTGTATCGTGTTGTGTGGGATACTCGGAGATGTACTCCATAGTTATCCTGGCTTCGCCTTTTTATTTTGGTTGGGGCTGGATTTCGGGGATGAAATCCCTTTAAGGTGGGAAGATTGTAACGACCCGGATTTTCACAGATATTTTTTTTCTGTTGTCTTTCCTTTCTGAGTTCAGTTCCTCTTCGCTTAGTGTCATCTCGAGTGCTCTAGAGTGATTTCCAAGACTTTTTTCTGTGGATTGACAACTTCCTTAGAGGACCGAGTCGTTTCCACATTTTTCGTTTTTCGACACTATTCACTTTTCGTCCTTTTCCTATTTTGTCTTTTCCCCGTTTGACACTTTGTTGGCATAACCACACTTCTTGTGTTCGAAGTTGGTTTTTGACTTCATGTATCTCCATCTTGAGTGGTTTCCATGAAATACGTATCTTTACTTTTGCAAGAAAGTACTCTAGTTACTCCCGGTGTCCATAGGGGCATGGGTGCAAAGTTCTTTTAAATTATTTTCTTTTCTTGGGGTGTTTTTCGTAAATATCTTTTGAAGATATTTTATTTCAGAGGTTTTTAAGAAAATATTTTTGGAAGATATTTTCATTCTGGGCCATAAGTGCAGTTTTCACTTTTTGGAGGGGCCATTGTGCAATTAATGAAAGTTATTGCTAAATGCCTTGTTTTGAGCCTAGATCCTCGTACGGGATTCATTTTCACTTTTTGTCGAGTCGTGTACTCTTAGAAATTCCTTCTGGTCATTATTTTCCAGTTTCAAGGTTTCTGTCCCCGGTTAGCGCCAAACTTGTTTGGGGCATAACTTTCTGCTCGGGACTCAGTTTTTGACGCTGTTTCTTTTGTTGTTCATATTTTCTCATTTTAAATCTTTTTTATTCACATAGTTTTGTCATTTGAGCTCGTTTGCTCAAATTTCACTTTTTCAGACCCGGCAAGGCCCGTTCGGGGCACTTTTTGAGATTTCTATAAAAGGGGGTGAGATATTTTATTTTTTCATCTTCCCCACTCTCTTGCATGACCTAAAGCTTCCATGGCAGCCTAAGGGAGGCTGCCACCTTCTCTCTCCTCTTTTGAGCTTCATTCCTTCGTCAAAACATAGAAGGGCCTTTGCGTTTAGTGTTCGTGTTGACTACGTGCTTCTTTCACCCTTATTAGAACCCATTTCTGACCATCCTTTGAGTTTGGGTTTGAAGTCAAGTTGTGATTTTGATGGGGCTTCCTTGGGAGTTATGTGCACTGTGTAGTCCCCAACAAAACTTAGAAGTTTCGTCGGATTCAGAACGGTTTCCATTTGGTGGCTTTTGAGATTTTCATCTCAAATTGAGGTAGGGGATGTTCTAGGCTTTTCTGTGTGTTGTATTGAGTGTTTACCATGATTATACAACTTAATTGCATGCCTTGTATAATTCTCAAAAATTAGTATTAATTATTTCTTTGTATAAAATTTAATTCACAAGGATGTGTATAACTTAGAATAGAATTGTGGCATGCTAGAAAATCATGTTTCAATATGTTTGTTAACATATATTAAATTAGGATTAATTGAATAAGAATTGCACTTTTTATTTAATATTTATCTTTGGTGAAAGATTAAATCCCATGGCCATACTTTTCATGAAATGAATTTGTAGTATGCTTTTAAATTAAGTCTTAGCATGTTTGTTAACATACTTTAATTTGAGAGTATTTGGACAAGTATGAAAATCTAGAGATTTTAAATTAAATGATTAATTAAAATCTATTTAATGGTTCCCTTGGCCCAATTAAGTTTTTTACTTGATAATCATGATGACTAGGACTTGTGTACTAGTATATATTAAATTGGGACCATTTGAAGTTACTTTGAAATTTAGCTGTTCAATTATCATGATATAATTAAATTCTACCTTGTTGTGCCATTGGCCTAATTGAGATTTTAGTGAATGTATGTATATACTATGCTATATTGTATAATATGCATTGATTAGGGGCTATTTGATTGAGATTTGAAAGCTAGGGAATTTAATTAGTTTATTTGATTAAATTCCGTTTCTATTGCTTTAATGATTAAATCCTGAAATTGGCATTGATAGTATGTTTGAAGCATGATTTTAGACTTGTAATAGATTTATAAATTATTTTTTCAATATTGGATTATATTGTTATAGCGTGTAACGAATCGCACACTGAAGATTCGACATGTGATGTTATTATAGCACGTAACGAATCGCGCTCTAAAGATTTGACATTGTCATCCTATAGTTGTTGTGGATTTAGAGCATGTGTTGTGTGCATGAAAGTAGTTTCGTGTACTGTTTAATACGTATATAAGTTGCTAACTTATTTATTTTGGAGTTGCTTGGGACATTGTTAAGCTGTGATGGCTAGGGTTTGGCTCTAGTACGGGGACAAAAGTCATCTAAGTCAAAAGTTCGCGCGTTGGGTAGGCTGCCTGGGGGTTAGTAGCTCCAAATTAGCCCTATAAAGTTCGCGCGCTGGGTAAGCTGCCTGGGGGTTAGTAGCTCCAAATTTGCCTTGTCTCGGCGGAAATCCGAGCTGTGATGTCCAAGTCTTCCACTATTTGATTTCGCATTCAATTCCAAGTTAACAACCAATGTTTAATTGTAACTTGTGGTTTTGGTAATTGGCGATTTGATGTTGTTAAGTACATCCATACTAAATTAATATATTTAGTTGATTTCACACTTTTAGATTGCTAGTTGATAACCTAGAGAATCTATGTCTTGATGTGTGGTATTAGATATTCTAATTATGCTAAATTTTTATATTTAGTTGATGTTGCATTTTAGACTTCAAGTTGATAACCTTGAGAACCACTATGTTGTTGCTTTGTGTAAGCATGCTCCTATGTTGTTGCTTTGTGTAAGCATGACTCTATGTTGTTAAAATTGCATGAATAAGGTAATTGATGCTAGAAATGATCTTAGGTAGCTAGGATGCTCCCTGAGTCTCACCTTGACATAGACGTTAGGTGGAATGAACCACAATAATTAAATCATGCAACTTGCAAAACTTTAGGTTGATGCATGCTCATTTCCTACGAGTAGCTTTATGTTACTCACCCCTACGATACTGGGGCATATTTCAAGTACATGATACAAGATTGGAGATTGCAATTGCTTGGGTGATTTGCTGAGTTGAGCTTCTTTAGAAGTATTGTTGTTCACATGCAAGTGTTAGCATGTTCATGATTTGTCTATGAAATGTAATTTTTCTAACTTGGAGGTTTGACATGTCAAATGTTGTAAATGTATTGAAATGAGGCCATAGGCCATTGTAGCACATCTATTTTATCATATTACATACACTTGCATGCTCATTTTGGCAAACAATACCTTCCTTGATGAAACAAAAACTCTAAGTAGCATTTTTGGGGAGGTTTACCCTATTCTGTTCTAGGGGCATTTTGGGTATTTCATAATGCGTTTTTTTCATTTTTCCTTTCCTGTAACATAGAAAACTCAATTTTGTGGGGGTTTTCTTCTTTGTGTTTTCCAGAAAACATCATCTTGACCCTTAAAAATCAATATTTTTCCGAAAAATCCTTGCTGCTAGGTTTTGTAAATTTTTAGTACAAATGTAGTTGGTACTATTCATTGACTTTTTTTTGAAAATAGTCACGACTGATCCGAAACTTTTGAAGGTCTTGTGGGTGCATTTTAAGATTGCATTTTCAATTTAGGCAATTTAAAAACCTCCCGAAGCCCTATTTCCAAAACTTGGGCAGTAGCTCGGATTAGTTTTTTTCCTTTTGACCTGATTTTCTTGGGGGCATTCTGGGAATTTTACAATACATTTTTTTTGTTTCTGTTCACAATCGGGGTAGGAAACTTGATTTTAGGGGGGGTTTCTTCTTTGAGTGTTTCCAAAAAAGTCCGTTTAGATGCCCGTTTTTACTCTCAGTTGCAGCAGTGGTGGGTTGTCCTCGTCGAACTGCCACGACATCATTTTTGTTTTTGACCTTTGTCCCCCGTCGGACTCCAAATTGAGTAAAAAAATTTTTGCACTTGACTAATTTGTCATTGTCTTTCCAGCGGTGTGCTCGATAGCACCTAAATCCACTTTTTGCAAAATAACCATTTTGCCCTTAGGTTCTTTTTGTCCGTTTTTTAAACGAAACTTCTGCATTTGTTTCCTTTAGGTTCTGTGACCTCATTGAGGGTCACATTGGTGTCTTAGAGACGCATTGTATCTCTAGAGACCGTTGTTTCACCTTTCGCTTCCGCATTTCGGATCCATTATCGAGTCATCTTTTGGTCATCACTGACGCACCGGGTTTACAAAACTTGGGCCATCACAGTTATTATATATAACAAGACAAAGGCAAAGTACATAGTTTCTAAATTTGTAGAAAGTCATAACCATCCAATCATAATTGTTGAATGCAGCCACATGATGCTATCCCAGCGACGAATTTCCTCAGTCCAGGCCATTAATGTTGAGTTAGCTTCGGATTCAGGAGTTCCAGCTTGTAATGCATATGAGTTGATGGGAAGGTAGTCTGGTGGCAAAGAATCAGTTGGGTACTTGAAAGTGGATCTTAAAAATTATCGAAGGACGCAAAGACAAAAGGAGCTTCTTTATGGAGAGGCGGCATGGCTTGTGGATTATTTTGAGACGCGTGGTTGTGAAGATCCTTTATTCTTCTATTCCTTGAAATTGGATACTGAGCAAATGATTACGAACATATTCTGGTCAGATTGTAAAATGAACATTGATTATGGCCAGTTTGGAGATGTTATCAGTTTCGACATAACGTATAAAGTAGTACACGGCAACAGACCATTTGCAATTTTCTTGGGTATGAATCATCACTGGGAGACCGCTGTATTTAGAGCAGCCTTAATGTATGATGAGACAGCGGATTCGTTTGTCTGGTTATTTGAAACGTTCTTGAAAGCGATGGGTAGAAAAGCGCCAAAGACAATTATTACGGATCAAGACGCTACAATGGCGAAGGCATTAAAGCAGGTGAATAACTTTCATGCATCTCCATTCTTGTATTGTTTCATGCTAAAACAATTGTATTATTTCAGTCGGTTGTATTTTTTTGGATTTGCATGTTTGCAACACGGGTATTAAGTTAAGTAATCGTGCAGGTCATGCTGGTGACAAAGCATCATTTATGTGTTTGGCACTTAATGAATAACGCGCAGAAGAACCTACTGTTTCTGTTTAAACACGTTGAAGGAATAAAGAAGGTCATCTCAAAATTAATGTTCCAAATTGAGAAAGGGGATGATTTTATCAGGGAATGGGATTTAATGATTACAGAGTATGGTGTTGCTGGTAATAAGTGGCTTTCCACTTTGTTAGATTTGAGACATAAATGGGCCCTAGCATTTGTCTAACACGACTGGTCTGCAAGAATGAGTAGCACACAATTGAGTGAAAGCTTCAATGGTCAATTAAAGTATTACCTTTCCAGACAACTTATTCTACTAGAATTCTTCACACACTTTGACAGATTGTTGTCCGACAAGTGGTACAAAGAGTATGAAGCCGAGTATGGCTTGGTGGAGAGTCAACCGGAACTAAAAATAAAGTGCCACATATTACGTCAAGCGGGGAAGGTGTACACCAAAGTAATATTTCAACTTTTCCAGGAGGAGTTTTTAGCCGCTCTTGCGAGTCAGGCTGTTATTAGTTGCACTAACTTGGATAAAAATGGACATCGTGCTTATAAAGTTGCTGGTGAGGATGGGGTGCAACATCATGTGAGCAGGACATTTGAAGATGAATTGTCTTGTAACGACCTGAAAATTTTCCCTCCTTTCCTTTTTTCCTAAAATTTTACGAATTAAATTTTTTTGTTTAATTTTCTTTTCTGAGCTCTGTTTCATGTCGCTTAGTGTCATCTCGAGTGCTCGGAATTGGTTCCTGAGACTCTTTTCCGTGGATTGACAACTTCCTTTGAGGACCGAGTCATTTTCACATTTTTCTTTTTTCGCACTATGGGCTATTTCGTCATTTTCCCTATTCTGTCTTATCTTCGTTTGTCAGTTTTTGGCACAACCTCACTTCTCATGCTCAGAGTTGGTTTTTGACTTCACGTGCTTTCATCTTGAGTGGTTTCCTCGAAATACGTATCTTTACTTTTGCAAGAAAGTACTCTGGTTGCTCCCGGTGTCCATAGGGGCATGGATGCAAAGTTCTTTGAAATTATTTTCTTTTCTTGGGATGTTTTTCGTAAATATCTTTTGAAGATATTTTATTTTAGGGGTTTTTAAGAAAATATTTTTGGAAGATATTTTCATTCTGGGCTATAAGTGCAGTTTTCACTTTTTAGAGGGGCCATTGTGCAATTAATGAAAGTTATTGCAAAATGTCTTGTTTTGAGCCTGGATCCTCGTACAGGATTCATTTTCACATTTCGTCGAGTTGTGTACTCTTGGAATTTCCTCCTGATCGATGTTTTCCAGTTTCAGGGTTTTTGGCCCCAATTTGCGCCAAACTTGTTTTGGGCATAACTTTCTGCTCGGGACTCAGCTTTTGACGCCGTTTCTTCTGTTGTTTATATTTTATCATTTTGAATCTTTTTTGTTCACAAAGTTTTTCCATTTGAGCGCGTCTGCTCCAATTTTACTTTTTCGGACCCAACGGGGCCCGTTTAGGGCACTTTTTGAGATTTCTATAAAAGGGGGGTGAGATATTTCATTTTTCACCTTCTCCCCTCTTCATGCACGACCTGGAGCTCCCATGGCAGCCCAAGGGGTGCTGCCATCTTCTCTCTCCTCTTTTGGTTCACTATTCCTTGATGGAAAGTCTTCGGCCTTAACGTTTGTTGTTCCCCTCGCCGTGCTCTACCTTTCCCCCTTGTTAGAATTCAATTTTGACCATTTCTTGAGTTTGGTTTTGATGTCAAGTTATGATTTTGTTGGGGCTTTCATGGGGGTTATGTTCACGGCGTTGTCCCCGACAAAATCTAGTAGTTTCATCGGATTCGGAGCCGTTCTATTTTGATGGCATTTGAGATTTTCATCTCAAAATGAGGTGGGAGATGTTCTAGGTTTAAATTCTTATTATATAGCATGCTTGTGATGCTTATAATACTTGTTTGCATGATTAAATATAAAATCTAGAGATTTTATTATTTATTTTTCTTGTACGGGATCTAATTTTCCCGGTTGCTCATGACTAGGTTTAAACATGTAGCATGATTTTATATTGCCCCTTGATATGCTCATTGTCGTGTATTAAAATTGGAACATTTGAATAAGTATTAAAGATTTTATTTAATATTTATCTTAGGTGAAAGATTAATTCACATGGCCTAACTAACTTGAAAGCAATATGTGTTAGCATATTAAATTAGGCCTTAGCATGCTCTCCAACATGGTTGAATTTGAAAGTGATTGGAGGTGTTTTAAAAATAAGTAATTATTAATTAATTTGTCCCGAGTGCACTATTCACTCTATTTAAATTCCGACTTGATATTCTTGATTTACATGCCATATAGCTTCACATATATTTGATTTAGAATATTCGGTTAGGTTTTGAAACCTTGTATTTAATTAAATTCCATGTTTAAGATTTAATCCTCATGGTGATATACAACTTGGAATTGTATTATGGCATGCTAGAAAATTAAGTTTTGGTATGGTTGTTCACATATATTAAATTGGGATTTATTGCATGAGAATTGCAACTTTTGTTTTATATTTAACTTTAGTGAAAGTTTAATTCACATGATCTTAAATTGAATGAAATAAGCTTGTAATGTGATATTACATTAGTCCTTGGCATGTTCTCTAAGATATGTTAAATTGAGAACATTTGGTTAAGTTTGAAAATCTAAAGATTTTAATTAAAAGAATTAATTAAAATCTATTTTGTGGTCCTATTAGCTTAATTAAGATTTTAACTTGATATTTGTATTGGCCGTGACTTGTTTACTAGTATATATTAATTGTGGACCATTTAAAGTTACTTTAGAACCTTGGTAATTAAATTAGCATGATTTAATTAGAGTTCTACTTTGTTGTTCCAATAATCTAATTGAGTTTTAGAATGGATATAGGTGATGACCATGCCATGTTCTGTAATATGTATTAATTTGAGGTTATTTGGAATTGAATTAGAATCTAGGGAATTTAATTATTTTTATTTAATTAAATTATATCGAATTGAGCCATGGATTTAATTGTGTTTGAAAGTCGTTTCTATATCAAAATCCTGGACATGGACTTATTGTATATTCATTTGGTTATGTTTTGAGCATTGGATAACATAGTTCCTATGTTTATACTCATGAGAATATGTTTTCCTTATTGAATATATTGTTGCCTTGTGTAATGATTTGCACATTTCGTATTTAAAATCATTCATGCATAGTGTGTAGCGAATCGCACACTGAAGATTCGACATTCATCACATCATATTAGTTGTGGATTTAGAGCATGCATTGTATAGGTTTCCAAATTTGGTTGTGCTTAGTAGATAGTTGATTATCTTGCATATTCCTGTTGATATATGCGTTGTTGCACAACTTGTTGATTTTGGAAACTTGGGGATGTCGTTGTTTGACTATGGCTAGGACGTGGTTCTAGTACGGGGAATAGTCCCTCTAGATGGTCTAGTGCGCACATAGGGAGGTTACCCATGGGCTAGTAACCCTAAAGTAACTATGTTGTCGGTCTGATCCGGTGTGACGTCTGAGTATCCACTTTGTTTGATTTCGCATTTCATTTTCAAGTTGATAACTAGATGATGTTGTAACTTGTTATTTCTTATTTGTCGTTCCATTTTAAGTTACAGGATGTTAACTTTGCGAAATTATGCTTTATGCGTTGTATTGGAAGTTCCAATGTTGGTTAAATTGCATCGATATTGAAAATCGTGTTTTGACGTTCTAATAGAGATTAGGATTGATCATATTGATTCATTTATAACATAGACATTAGGTGGCATGAACCACTACTGTTATTTTGTGCTTTAGACTCCAAGTTGATGGCTTTGAGAACTTAAACCTTGTTGCATTGTATAACATGCTCTTTTGTTGTTGAATTGCATGGATAATGTGATTCTTGTTAACTTGTATTCAAATATGCTTTTGTCATGTTGTATGGATTATTCTAGACCTAGTTCAATTGTATTGAAAATGCAATTCATGTTAATCTATGCTCAAGCATTCTTCTTGTCGTGTTCTTTGGATTATCCCAACCATGATTCGTTTCATACACGTATGTATATCATGATTCTTGTTGCTTAGACTCTAAGGTAGCTTAGGCTGCTCCCCGAGTCTCACTTGGACATAGACGTTAGGTGGCATGAGCCCCTTTAACATGTTTCACCTTAAAGTGATAAATTTATAAAATGCTAGGTCGATGCATGCTCATCTCCTACGAGTAGCTTTATGTTACTCACCCCTACGATACTGGGGTATATTTCAGGTACGAAGACTTGGTTCGTGACGCCTAGCATTCCTTGGATGTCGTGTAGCTTTCAAGTTTCCATTTCATGCAAATGTTAGCATGAAATTTCATTTTGTAGACTTATATGTCAAAATATGTATATTTGATTCCATGTATGTAATGTGTACATAAGTGCACTCCTTTCAATGTATTTGACATGTATGAGATGAGGCTGGAGGCCAATGACATGTGTATTGCATTCTATACAACTTTTAAACTTCATGAAATATTATGAAAACCTTAAAAAATCGCAAGTCATTGCTTCACCATGGTTGCATCGGGTGTGGGAATTCCATTTTCATTCTTTCATAGGGTCTTATTAATCTTGTATGAAGTGTGGCCAAGGGTTAAACGGTCATTTGATCCCGTTTTGTATTTTTGGATTATGAGTTTTCATTCTAAGTTCCATTTTTGCCTTTTTGCCCGTTGGGGGGTCGGATTTTGTATCGGTGGTATTTTTAAGTCGTGGACTATTGTAGCACATCCAAATAGGTAAGTTACGTTCGCGTGCATAGTCGTTTCCGGGCAAAACCTTATCGTTTGTGTTTTGAGCCTCTTGTGAATTCATTTCGCACTTTTTTTGCATATTCTGATCTAGGGGAATTATAGACTTTTCACGGTGGTTTTATTTTCTTCTTTCAACATGGTTGAATAGAAAACATGATTTTAGGGAGGGTTTCTTTTCCGTGTTTTTCCAGAAAATGTCGTCTTGATATTGGAAATCGCTTACGAAGTTCAGTTCTCAGTTTTCAAAATAGCAGCTTTTTGGACCTCCATGACCAGATTTCATGGAGGGGCATTTCGGGTATTCTACATTGTTTTTTTTTTGAATTATCATATGTTTCACATAGGAAACTCAATTTTGAGGGGGGTTTCCTCTTTGTGTTTTTGCAAAAAAATTCATCTAGGCCTCCAAATTCAGCCTCTGTTCCGGATTTTTCTGAAAAACAAATTACATAGCAGCTTTTGGGCTGCTGCTGCCAGCCATGGTGCACTCAGCATGTGCGTGGCGTGCATGGGCGCACGCATGGGCGTGCGCATGGGGTTGTCATGGCCCCTCGTCGGGCCGCCGCGACGTCATTTCTTCTTTTGGGCTTTTCTCCTTCGTCCGGACTCCGATTCAAGTGAATTTTTTTTTAACTTGATTAATTTTTCGCTGTCTTTCCAACGGTGTGCTCGGTTGCACCCAGATCTTCCTAGATAATTACCAGTTTACCCTTTTAGCCTTAAGTGCTTGTTTTTCTTCGTCAGGCCGTTTCTCCTTCGTCCGGACTCTGAATCATGCGATTCTTAAGTCCATCCTGATTATTCTTTTATTATATTTCCAGTGGTGTGCTCAGTGGCACCCGAATCCACATTTTTTAAAAATAACTATTTTGCCCTTGGGGGCTTATTTGTCATATTTTTGACCTTTTGCTTCCGCATCAGTTCTTATTGAGTTCCACGACCTCATGGAAGGTCACTTTGACTTCTTAGAGTCTTGTGTTCTATTTTTGCTTCCGCATTTCGGATCCGTTATCGGATCATCCTTATGATTCATCACAGGACACGCTGGCCTAAAAACCAGAGTCATCACATGTCTTGCTCATGTTGTAAATTTCAAAGAGAGGGCTATTTATGCAGGCATAGTCTGAAAATCCTTAAAGACTGCATGTTTGTGAATGAGTTGCCTTCGTGATATATAATAAAAAGATGGACTAGAAATGCTAGAGATGGTGGGTTGGAGGAAATTGTTTCCACTGATGTGAATCCGGATCCTCAACTTGAGATTAGGCGACAGCATAGGACGCTTTGCCGTATACTAACTGAAATATCTTCCATTGCATCGCACGACCCTGAAGGATATAATGATCTATTAGAAAAAGCACTGGACTAAAAAAGAATAGTACAAATAACCTATGGTTATAGGTTTGCAGAGAAAATTACTAAGGCTAATGGAAAAAAAGGGTGAAAAGCAACAGTGGAACAATTCCCATGTCCCTGAAAGTTAAAGGTACCTCTAAAGGATGATTTAAGAGGCAGAAACCAACCATGGAGTTAAATAGTGGGAAAAGGAGGAAGTCAACGAAAGCAATAGGCCAAGTATATGTTACTATCGCACACACTGATATTTCATTGTTTAACTATTTGAACATGTGAAGAAAATAAATTCAAATGCATAACATTATATCCTTCGTCATAAAACACTCGTGAGTGGAAGAAACTAACATTTTTTTTGTTTTAGATACCAAATGAAACCGTTGTTTTGGAAGACGTCGGTGGCAGCTATGGTCTGTCAACCCCATCCTACGTGTTAGTGAATGTGAGTATTATTACAAGTATATTATATATAAGCAGTTACTATTCATTCATGATTGTTGGTTAACATGTTGATTATGTTGAAAAGTGCATTGATAGTGTTTATATGAAATATTTTAGGGTGCAGAAATTCCAGTCGAATTTCTTAATGAAGAATCTTACGTAACACCGCCAGCTGTATTCCATAACAGACAACTTAATATTTGTAAACCATGTACTTCATCAACTAACCATGTAAGTACTTTGACTAATTAAGATGCATTATTTTCTTTGTTTTTCCAAAATGGACTAAATTTTTTTTACATCTAAACAATATATTACAAAGGTCACATTGGACATATCCCACACCAAACTCTGCCCAGACTAGGCAACATCATAAAAATTCACACTAAAACCTAATGCAAAACACTAATGTAGATCAGTCGGAATATTATCCATTTTCCGTTGACCTACAGCAATAAAATCCCCAAAACTCTTGATCGAAAACTATATGTGGAAAAAAAAATTGACATCATTTTACCATCACACCAAGGATGAATAAAAATGTTGATGTCAGTTCCTTTTTCCAATAACATACTTATAGTTGATCTTCATGAAGTCCCCCAAATGGCAACTATACTCTTCCATATAGAAGAATCTGAAACCTTTGGCATGACGTGCCAAAAGGATGTATTCCTTAGGAAACATGAACAATGTCTATACCCAACCACTGAAATCCTATCTTTGGACAGTAAATAATCTAAAGCTAATACACAGTTGTCAGGTAAATCAATATCCAAAACTGTTGTCACCCCCAAACCACCTTCTTCTTTTGGGAACAGTAAGCTTCGTCCATTTTAAATTACTCGTATCTGCATAATATCTTCATCATGCCATAAAATGAAGTTCTTCATTATCTTTCATATGCCCATAATCATGTATAAAATTCCCTGCCGCATCCTGAATGACAGTGATATTGGTTCTAGTAGTATGCTCTTTAATTTGCTGATGCAAAAACCTTGTGCACCGGTTCTGGTCCTTCATCCATCTAATTCTTGTCTTATGAGACAGAAGAATTGCTTCATTAAAGCTAGCACATTCAAATTTTTGTCTAATATCCTACTCGTCAATGAAAACATCATTCATAAGATTCTTGGCTAACCTCAATTGCACTTGCTCAAGAGACTTCCTAATACCAATAACCTAAAACAAAACAGACTGAAACTTTACAAAAATTTCAATTTTTTACAGCCCTTTTAACCAATGTAATATAGTACAGTAGCTTCTGGATTGGATTCCCACCCATGACTATAAATCAGACATAATATTGCGAACCACTGTTTGTTTATTCCAAACCAACAAAAATCCGAAAGGCTTTGGACCTTCACCAATGTGCAAAGGAATGTTCAGTTTAAGTCTCCTATGATCTGAAATGAATGTTGTGGAGTAAGAATAATATGTGAACTTGGAAATACATTATCCCAATCCTAGTTCATAAGACCTTGATCCAGCGTTGCATAAACTCTCGTCTGACTAAACCTTTTAGTACCCCATATATATTATCCATTATCTACTGGAATATCAGATAAACAAAGCTGATTAATGGTGTGGTTAAAATCATATAGTAGTGAATTATGGGGGTTGCCTAAGGCCTCCCTTCGTCCTACCTTAATATGTATTGTTAACAATATAAATATTTCAGACTGATATTGGCGATCCAGCCATGTTGTCATCTCAACTGTTCAGTACGCCCTCTTCATATGATGAATCAAGTGCTCATCATTTGGGAGGTGATGAGGTAATCATTTATTCTTTCTCCACTAATGTTTTTGTCATTGTTCTCATTATAAATGTGCTAATAGAAAACAGTTTACAAAAATTATTTGGATTACATTTGTTGTCATTGTGCTTAATTGCAAAACACCTGGGCAAGCAAATGTGACGCCAACATCTGGAATGGCAATGACGTTAGGGATGAATCATCCAATTCAGCATCGACTCTTTCAATATTGAGAAGAAACTTGTGATGTAATTGACTTATCATTGATTATGTGTATCCTTCTAATCTTTTGGACATCTTGTACAAAGTTTATGGCCTACTTTGGCTGCCCTTATTACCTTTAGCTGTCATGTAATTTACCTTGTATTCATTGTGTGCATGCTTATAACATGTTCCACATGTTGAGTATCACCATATTTTGTAAATCCACTATTCAAACATTACAAAATGTATGTCTTATTTTGGGTATGACCATGTTTTGGAAGCAAGAAATACATAAGAGAATCACAATCAAATTGGATAGACTGTTTGTTCAGAAATATTAATGGAACCTAAGCTACTTAAAGCATAAAAAAAACATGTACCAATGGAACACCGAGACCAATAATGGACTCTTGGCTTAGGCGTTAGCAAATGTTGACCCTTTGTCCTGGGTTCGAGTATCAGTATGAATGGGTGGCAATGTCGAAAAAGAGGTATTTTAAAATACCTCCTTTTTCATGTAATTAGTTTTTTTTTTTAGGGACTGTTGGACAACAATAAAGTAATATGTACAAAACATTTATACATTGTTTTACCTACATGAATCAAAGACATCAATCAATATAATATGTAAATATAATCCCAACACAATAATAAATGTGTAATGGGATAGTTGAATATTAATTCATGGATCAGAAATATTAATGTAACTCAAGCTACTGAAAGCTTAAAAAATGTACCAATCAAACACTAAGACTAACAATGGGCTCTTGGATTAGGTTTTGGCAAATGTTGACCCTTTGTCTTGGGTTCGAGTCCCAGTATCATCGAGTTCTGTATAATAAGAGATATTCTAAAATACCTCACTTTTCGTCTTTTTTAGAAAAATTATTTTTTACTACAAAACATTACAAGGTAGGACAAAAATAAAGTAATATTCAGAAAACGTTCCTACATTGTTTTACTTACATGGATCAAAGACATGTTAAATCATTTATGTTGGCAATTGTAGCACATTATTGTACAAAAATTCACTCCAATTTTAACACTCACCTTTGCACAAGTTTCACTATGTTATTTGAAGGATAAAAAATGAACCAATCAAACAACCACACACGTACGTACATAATACCTCAAGAAATTCGTAAATTAAATTGCAATGCATACGTACAGAAAATCCCAATATCTATAGTACATACAATCACAACAAATACGTACATAAAATCAATATAATATGTAAAGAGAATCCCAACAGAATAATAAATGTGTAGGGTAGTTGAATATTAATTAAACTATGGATTAGAATCACAAATGCCTTCAATAACCACTCCCACCCACAATGCCACCACTTCTGCTATAAATATATGTCATAAGGCTTGGATAGAAGCACCCACAAGAAAATGTCTTCCTCTAGGCCAACCAATGGTGCGCTACCAAACCATAGAAGACGCACAACCAGCCCCAATTACCCAACCTTCAGTCCCATTTATGTGTGTCAAGCACCCTCTGCTGCAGATCCTCCCCCTACCCTACAATACCTTATTATGCGTATGGATAATTTTGGGAGTGACCTAAGTCGTCTATGGAGTATGGTGAGGAGGGTGGATTGGCCCATTAAGAGGGTTGAAGCGCTGTGGAATGAAGAGTCTAACGACCAGGTCATGGAAGTTCTCAACTCCTCCGACGCCACAAGCGACGATGGAACCTGAGGAAGGACGGTTGTTTTGGAGGTGGCTGGTTATGAAGGACCCCTTATCGATGTGCGGAAGTTTGGTGTGAAGTAGTATTTGGAAGGTTCTCTGTTTTGCTATGTTTGGTTTGGACCTTCTATGTATGTTTATATGATGGTGTTTTTTTGTATGCTTTTTATTGTGTAATAATTATATGTATGATATATGATATGAAATGATATATGAAGCTATATATATGCTGTGTGAACATTAATATATGAAGCGATTAATATAAAGCCATATATATGTATAAATTCACGTTACTATATATATGCATGAGGGTAGTGTGAAAAAAAAAATGATGAATAAGAATAATATTAGACAATGGATCATGAAAAAGGAAAGAAAAATTCAAATATGTATGATGTAATAAATTGCAACTAAACTACCATAAATGGGGTGTTAAATGCTGACAATTTGGTTTATAAATTGATAGGAAATGGGTGTCAATTCACAGTCACTCCAAAATTTCTACCATTAAAGCCATCATAATTATAGGGAAATGGGTATTCTAAATTACCTCTTTTTTTGTTTTTATTTGTTATGTTTTTTTTGTAGAAAACATTACAAGGCAAGACAAAAATAAACTAATGTGTAGAAAACATTCCTACATTGTTTTACGTACTTGGATAAAAAAAAAAAAAAATGAATCATCTAAAAAGAGGTATTCTAAAATACCAACCTCCTCCTTGTTAAATTTTTTTGGTAAATGAAAGGCAAGGATATAAGTTCATACATATAAGTTCATAAACCTATACAACCTATATCAATTCAAAAAAATATGTCCGAAATTATTATCGTCAAATTGAGATATAAAATTTTATGAAATATAAAATAAAGACTATATATTTAGGATATGAGACAAACAAACTACTTCATTTTGCTTGAAATTATACATATGTATTGTATACAACATCCCAATAGTTACCTAACAAAATGTAAGAAGTACGTACATAAATTCTCAACTACTACAAATATAAAATCAATTTAATTTGTATTATCCATCCAAGAATTAGGGTAGTTGAATATTTATGCATGGATTGACTTATAAACATAAATCGGTTCAACCACCCGTCCCACCCACAGTGTCACGAGTTGTGCTATAAATATATGTGCTGAGTAATGTTCCAAGCACCCATGAACATCATGTCTTCGTCTAGGCCAACCAGCAATGGCGCACTACTAAACCACAGACCAAGCAGACCCAGGCCCAATTACCCCACTTTCAGTCCTTTCTCTGTTCATCAAGCACCCACTAGTCCAGATCCTCCACCTACGCTACAAGATCTGATCATGCGAATTGACAATTATGGGACTGACCTCACTCGCCTCTAGAGGTTGGTGACGAGGGTGGAACGGCGCCTGAGAAAGCTTGAAGAGCTGTGGAACGCCGAGTCTGATGACGACATGGTCGTCGAAGTTCTCAACTATTCTGATGCCACAAGTGATGATGGAACTTGAGGAACGACGAAGGATTTCGGAGGACCCTTTTTGCGTGGTTGTGAAGGAATGATTTGGAGGGGGTGGGTGTCCTTTTGTATGTGTGGAGGTTAAGTGTGACGTAGTTTTTGGAAGGTTCGCAACCAGTGTTGCTGGGTTGGGTTTGGGCCTTGTATGTCTGTTTATATTATGGTGTTTTCTTTTCTGTATAAGAAATATGTGTGTATGATGTGTGATGTTGAATGAAATATGAAGCCATATATATTTAAAAGTTCATGTAAAAATATGTATATATGCATGGGGGCAATGTTTAGAAAAATGAAGACAAATAAGCATATTATATCATCCAAAAGGAAAAAGGAAACAAAAATGACACTACCATAAATGCCTTAAATTGTGACCAAACTACCATAAATGGGGAGTTAAATGGCGACTACTGCCAACTTAAATGGATCAAAAATTGGTGTCAATTCGCAGTGACTCCAAATCCAGGCCCATTAGGGTACAGTAGTTGAGAAGGACATTTGACAATTTATTGAAGTATGAATTAGGATGACTACTAATTATGTCATCTTTTGTGGATTCATTGATTAGGTCCGGGTCTTTATTTGGACTATTAATTACTATGAACTATGATAAGCAATATATATAATTCATAAACAATATAAATCAGTCGTTTATTTTTTTTTTGGGGTTTGGTAAATTAAAGGCAATAATACAAGTTCATTGTCCAACTTCTATAATTTATATCAATTAATATCAGTATCTGTGAAATTATGTATTTCAAATTTATATTGAAATTACGAATTGATATATAATTAAGACTATATATTTATGATATGAGACCAGAAAGGCAGCTATATAAATCTGCCTCAGAATATATATTGTGCATTACATCCCAATAAATACGTACTTTAATACATATAATTCGTAGTAAGTATCCTAATATAATCCCAGGCCAAATCCCTTGAAGGTAACCAACATACATTTGTAACATATATAGATCCATCTGAAATTATAACTGCAGACATATAGTAGTCTGCTTAATACATCATAATTCCCAACAACCCCAACAACATTTCACTTTCTTTTGGACGTACGACTCCTTGGCGGTGGAATTTCAAAGTCATCATCTCCGAAGTCGGAAAAATCTGACAAATCGGAATCCGATTTTAGCTCCGGGTCAATCATTATTTTTTCGACCTCTGCATCCGGATCCTCGCATGTGTTCATCGCCTTTGTCAGTTTCTTCGTCTTACGCCATCTTACATTTAATTAACAGATCTCACATTTAAGTTAGACAATAACAGATTCTATATCTGCGGCATTCGGCTCTTGCATTTTAAGATGTCATGCTCTAGGAATTGTCACCCTGAGTCGTCTACACTCTACCACAATCACAATCCTTGCACCCACCAAGTCGTTATACCTGATACATTGTTGTTGAGGTAGAACTAGTTGATTGATGTCTATTGCTTCGACTTGAGAGTTTGACGTGGATCCAAGCTCGTGCATGTGCCATCGATGAACTGCTTCAACGGCCTCTACATGGCTATGGTAAGGATAATACTTGCCATTAGGAAACCCTCGCGTCTGTGCTATCACTTTGGCCCGGTTCGTGTATATCCCTACTTTTTGACCTACAAAAACAACGTAATATCGACGTCCAGCCATTGATGTGGACAAACTTGGTGTATCGGTTTCGTTAGATTGGCCCTAGGGTAAAATATATATACCACCCACTTACAATATATATAACAGTTGAGAAACCATTTACTTATTTATTGCGTTGGTCACGTTGGGTTTATTGAACTAATAATTCCAAGGATATACTTTCACTTCTTTAGTACATATAGCAATATATATGCATTGAATTATAGATATGTGGATTTTGGTTTGTTTGGAACTTTATGATTAGGTGTGGGTCATTCAGAACTTAATGAACTCTTAATTCCTTTCAACTACTCTTACTTCTTTAGTATATATAGCAGCAGTGAATCTTGGATATGCCGACTTTTGTACGTTTCGATTGATTGATTACCTCTGCGTCATTCAAAATTTATTAATCCCTTTGAATTACTTTCACTTCTTTCCTACACTCGCCACAATTTATAGCAGTTAATATTGTATATGCACTTTTCATTATTATGAAGTACTCTGACTTCTTTATTAGAATAATAAACCATATATATATATATATATATATATATATATATATATATATATATAGCAATGCATATTAAAAAAAAATATTATATAAAACGCTATTTAAAAACCTATTTTAATAGGTTTCCTATTAATAAGGAATCACCAAGTAGTTAGACTTCTTCAGATGCCATGCAATAGCAGTTAATTTTCTATATGACAATTCATGAAGGTATGAAGCGTTGTTTATAAATGTATTTAAGTAGGTGTCATATTAAAACATACCCACCCACAATTAATATTCAAAATCACAAACTTTTGCGTTTACAGAGCAGTGATCCAATGGATAAAGAAATGCAATATTGGATTGATGATGTCATTCGCAGAGTTGATGCTTTATGCTTCAACCATTTGAAGGACAAGCATGAGTGGTTAGTTCTTATTTTTCAGTACCCATGCATGACAGAATATATATTTCAATAAAGGTTTGGACTGAAATTTACATATCATGTTGAAGAGAAATGGAACAACTTGGAAATGCACTGTGGACAACGCTGACATGGGAAGGTTATGGTGTAGCAGAGCATGTACTTCGAAGTGATGGGCCAGAATATGTAATCAGAGATAGGTGTACGTATATACAACATAGCTTTCAGTGCGATAATTATGATGCAAGGTTTATAAGAGGAGTGGTACGTGCCACAAGATTCTATTATTTATATATTTATCAATCAAAGTTCTGTACAAGAATATGGTGCCAACTTTATTACGACTATATCACAGGTGGATTGGATTGTCTTCAACAAACGTAGAGGCTTGGCATTCCTGCCTCGAAATGGGTCTGAGTCGTTATATGCCATATGCATTGCATTACTCTTTTTTGATGATGATGACAAGGAGGCTAGAATTCAGTTATTAACTTTGTTATGGTGAAATGAGCATCTGCGGACAACATTGAAGAAGGCCCGGAAAAAAAATTCTTACATTAATTCAGAAACAAGACTATGGGAATGCTAGATTCTTTGAATATGTTCCTCAATGTTGTCCGCAAGGGAACCACATTGACTGGTAATGCTGGATTTTGAACGAGGATGTCATAACTTGCCATCATTGTTGGTGTGATTTAAATGTCATGTTGTTGCAAGAAAAACTTTCAACAAATTACATTGAAGGCTTATTTTAAATGTGATGTTATGTACATAATTCTTGGGATATTTTATACATAAAGATTGTACTTTTATATACTTAAGTATTGTGGTTTAATGTATGAATAATATGGAATTTAATTTAGGTAAATTTTGGAATTTTATGTACGAATTATGTTCACAATTTATCCTTAGTATTTGTTTCCTACATATTTTATTGGACAATATTAGAGTAAAATTTTTGAAATTCAAAATTTGAAAAACGAACTGTTTTTGTACTTTGATTGGAATTAGTATTTCTAGAGTCCTACAAATCATGACTTCCCAAATTTACTTCATATGAATTACGGTTATATTCTTCTCCTATTTGGAGATAGACTCCTATGTTTTTTAAACCAGCAGGTGTTCTTTAAAATCCCGTAACTGAAGATCATCAATGGCTACTTACACCAACACTAGTGGGAATCGCAGATCACTCTGGCCATCTAATGTTCAGAACACAGTAAAGGTTTCCCTCTCTTCATTGATGAAATATATCATTGTATTCAAACAATTTTTACTTCCTCCATGATGACATTGGATTATCCCCATCTTTTTTTAAGAAGGTTTAGTGAAGCCATATTTAATGTGTTTATTTCCTTTTATTCAGGCTTCATCTGCATCAGGCACGGGGCCAATCGACTTACCTGATATAAGGTATATGAATACTTTGTTGGTGTCAAGAGACGGCATATGTAAAAATTACAGAAAAACAAAATGCCAACAAAGGAAAGTTATATTATGTATGTTCAAAACCACAACATGAACGTTGCGGATTCTAGGAATGGTGCCATCCTATTTCTTCTACCAGATTTAGTCAATCTTCAACTTTATTTGCATGTCAACCACAAGACTTACCAACCGACAAGTCAATAGGAGATCGCATTAATTTGGTGGATGAAGTTGAGGAACTTATATCTGAAACTGGAGACCTTGTTTCAACTATGAGAGTCATCCAAACAAGTAATGCATTGCTTAAGCTGCTGGCAATGTCAACCCTACTTATAACTATCTTATGTTTTGTGTTAACTGTATCTGTTTTTACTTTGTATATAAGTTTCAGTTGTAAGGTTTGATCCCTCTTTGTGGTTATGGACCAACTTTTGTCTTATGTTTCTTTAAACACTGCAAATTTCATATCCACATTGCAATGGTAAGGTGTTTTTGTAGTGATGAGAAAGTTGGGATTGACTGTAGCAAATGTTTGGACTTTTGGCACAAAATTATTGAGATATAAATAGGAAAATATTGGGATTTATAGTAGGAAAATATTACGATTTATTTTAGGAAAATGTTGAGATGTTAATTAGGAAAATATTGGGAATGATTTTAGAAAAATATTAGGAATAAATTTAGAAAAATATGGGATTCATTTAGGAAAATGTTCTTATTTTCAAACCAAAATTTTGGGATACAAAATAGAAAATTATTGTAAATTTACACAATAAAATGTTGGGATATAAAGTAAGAAAAATTTGTGATTTTAGGTAGGAAAATGTTGAAATTTAAAAAGAAAATTGTTGGGATTTAAAGTAGAAAAATATTGGGATTTAAAATACCAAAATGTTAGAATTTGAAAATAAGAAAATGTTGGGATTTAAAGTAGGAAAATGACGAGATTTAGAGCATCTCCAACACTAAAATAGACACCACCACATATACACCGGCACATATGTTTTGTAATTTATTTTC